GGGTGTGTGGTGTGAATGAGAAATAATCCTGTGGTTGTCATCCAGTAAGACTTTTGGATTGCTACCATAGTGTAACCTCAACTATACAGAGGCAAGAGTTTCCAGCTCTTGACTTCCAGCCACTTTCCTGAATCCTGTAAGACATGGTCATGTGATTAGTTTTTGACCAAAAATATATAAACATAAGCAATGTGTATTATTTCGGGGAGGAAGCTTTTAAAGCCAACATGAATTCACCATGCTTTCTTTCCCCCATTGAAATAACTGGGATGATTATGGAAGACATATCAAGATGAATCCTTCTTCAGACTTGGTTTCTGAGTGGGTACATCGGGCACTCAAGAGCACCTTTGATTTGAACATGTAGTATGAGCAAAAAATAAAGTGGTGGTTTTTTTGTTAAGCCACTAAGATTTTAGGATTGTTTGTTGTGGTGGCAAACCTAGCCTATCCTGACTGATACAAAAACTAACACCTGGAATGGGGTAATGTGATAACAATAAAATTAAACATTTGTTTAGAGGATAGTAACTAAGACTGTCATCAGGAGCTAAAAAGACAGTGATCTCTTTGGTTGAATGTATCACCTGTGAGAATTTAGAAGGCATATCATTCATTAACCTAGTGAACTTAGAATAAGACACTGTAAAACAAAATGTTAGTAGCATGGGTTGGTGTCTGTTGGATGCATTTGGAAACTTATTACAAAAAAATGAAATGAGCTCAGAGAAGACTTGGCCAGTTTGCAAGCAGGAATGAGAGTAGGAACAATCTAGAAATTCAGAGATTTGTAGGGTTAGAAGAGGGTACTGTTTTTCAATCTCAACTAGTAAAATATACAATTAGGAAACGTTTCCAGCAAGAAAAGGCCAGGTAAAATCAGGCTTGAAGTACGGGTCAAGTCAAGAGTATGGCCTTAAACCTATTATTAAAACCTCTGGATAAATTAAGGTGTTACCCAGCATATGCTTTCCTTTTCTTCAACCGTATTTATCTGGTAGAGTGCTAAAAAAAAGTATTTTACAGGGGAGCAAGCAAGCTCTAAAACCTGGGAATCGAACCTGCAACCTCTGGGTGTACAGGTGATGCTCCGACCAACTGGGCTACACCAGCCAGAACAACATATGCTTTCAATTGGACAAAATGACTCTGAAAAAGGGAGGGAAAGTGTTGCTCTCACACCAAAGCCCAGTAAGTCCAAAGCACTCAAAATCAAGTTGGGTGGAGGGGGCAGGACAGGAGAATGAATGACAGAGAGATCAGCAAGCATGAGAGCAAGAAAGCAAAGAAATATGACTGACCATAGAACTATCTCTAGAAAGAGTTAGCTGTGGCTCTTGGGACATGGAATGGAGGGAATCAAATCGGTAAGAAGCCTGCATTTATGTGAGAGTTCTACCGCCAAAAGAGCATCAGCCTGGATTAAAGGACACTGTATTGGAGACTTAATATCACTCTGTACCTCCCCCCATTTTTAAAAGTTAAACTATTTATTTCCTTATGCCTGCTTTAGATATAAAGAGGAAGTCTCTCTCATAGGCAAAGCCAGGGGTCATGGAAAACCATGGATGGGGTGGCTCCACTTGGGGAGCAGAATCAGGGTCTAATTGGGGTGTTGGACAGGGGATCCTCAACATGCCTGCTCAGTGGACTAGTGTCTACTGAGGTCTCCCATTCATTCCTTCACTTTCCAAGCGGCATGTCCACTGCAGTTATCCCATCTGTCCCATGGTTCTATACTGAGGGTGCGCAGCGTAGACATCTTGCCTTTAGATGAAGAGTCACATCTGGAGCTGATATAGAGCCTGCTACGCATCACCCAGAACCTGGAAAGTGAGCTTGATATACTATGACTACGGGGGTCTTTAGAGGTGTCCCCCCTGAGGAAAGAATGAGGGAATTCTGCCTGTAGGAGGACAGTAAGCCAAACATTTGGTGAACAGAGAGGGACACTGTTAGGATCATTAGTATTGTTCCACAAATCTTCCTGCCTCTTGCCTTTCAAGACACTTGGCAGGATTACAGAGATTCAAAGATAGGCATGGCCACATGACTTGCTTTGGCCAATGATACACAAGCAGAGTGTAGTGTGTCACTTCCAGGTTGATGCTCCGAGAGCCAGTGAATAATTTCCCGCCTTCTCTCTGCTGCTGCCCCCCGCCCCCGCCCTAGCCAAGGCAGTTAAAAGAAGCATGCTTTAAGAGGAAACCTTCTTTGAACTGGAATCCTCAAGTGACCACAGTGAACAGAACTCCCCTGCAGGCCCACAGTGGGCACACAGCATCAGTGAGAAATAAACTTCCCTGGGATAAGCCACTGAGATGTTGGGGTTGTTCATTAGGGCAGCATAGCCCAGGCTTTCCTGACTGATACAGAGTGAGAGATGAGGCCTGAGAGCGGGAACTAGACTGTGAAAGGCCCCTTCTCCTAGGCAAAGGTGTCTGAACTCTCTCCTGGTGGTAAGGGGAAGCCGATGAAGGCTTCCAAGCAGGGGCGTTAACATAAACAGATGAGTTATTTTTTTGGATGAAATATACTATTTCTCAACATAAGGAGAAAATCATCCCACTAAACCACATAAGGCAGAAAGGAACACACAGAACCCTTAGGCAAAAGACATATATTTATACAAAGTCCTAAGTCTTGAATTTTCTAAACACAGGAGCTCCGAAAGGAGTTACAGAAGATCAAGCAAGGCAAAGGTCTTCTGTCCCACCATCCAAGCTCTATTTCCTCTGCAGATAATGTTACAAGAAAGTCTCCCAGAGTAGAGAAGATACAAGGGAATGTAACACAGACCTGAGGTCCATGTGTGGCCTGAGCAAGATATTTAACCTCTCTGGGCCTGGTTCCTCATGTTAAATCCAACCAATAGTATACACAGCTGTAGATGATTGTGGGAGAAACCGCATATTTAAATTGCTCAGGTAAATGCCTGGCTGATAGTAGATATTTAACACATGAAGTTTATTTTTATTAGTCTCATCATAAACATCATTAAGAACACCAGCCCCCTGATTACAAAAGAAAATTTTGGGCAACAGTATAGGGGAGAATGTCCCCTCCTTGAGGAATGTAACTGATCTTGTCATCACTGTATCCCTACCCCCCTCCTCACATAGTACCTGGCTCACAGTAGCCACTGTTTCCCTCTGCTGCCGGAGAGAATGAGAGGTGAGAATGAGAGGCCTGGAGTGAAGAAAGCTTGTCAGGATTTCCCTGCACCCAGCTGCAGTTGAATCTGAACTCTCAAAGCCACAAAGACCTTAAAGCTCTGGGCTCTGAATCCCAGGCTGAATTCCCCCAAGTTCTGAAGCTGAAAAGCCAGAAATCGAGCCCAGGAACAGAAACTGCTGCAGGTCCAGCTTCAAGCCCCAGTCTCAGGCCTCCGCCAGGAAAAGCGCTGACCCTTTCTTTCCTCCCTCACCCTGCTCCCCTCCCTGCTCCCCACGGGCCTAGGTACACCTGCTCCTGCCAAGTCGCACTGGCACCCTGGCACCCCTGGGGAACTCGGGGAAGGGGGCTGTTCGGCGACCACCTCCCAGGCCTGCAGGTGATGGAGCAGTGCCTCGGCCCGGAGGTGGTTCGCCCCGTCCCACTTGCAGATAAAGGAACCGAAGCTCAGAGAACTCGCTTTGCTCCCTTCGCGCCGAGGCCGGGTCGCCCGACAGGGCCCGCGACTCCCGACTTCAGCAGCCTTTCCACCGTGCACTTCTGTCCCTAAGGGGTGCGGGATGGGGGAGGAAAAGTCACCACAGAAAAGGAGCCACTTATATGTGTCTAGCGCTTCCTACAGGCTGCACAGGATATGGGCCCGGCACCCGGCCGGGAGCGACGAGACTTTAAATTCTGCTTTTACCGGACTCCTCGAGGCTGCGTGACTTTCGGCCAGTGCCGCCGCTCCCGGGCTTGTTTTCCCGGAAGCAAATCATGGCGGGAGGAGCGTGGGAGTGTGAGAGTGTGAGTGTGTGTGTGTGCGTGTGCTCGTTATGCCAGGGCAGGGAGTAGACCATCGCAGGGGTTCCCCAAGTTTCAGATTCCCTATAAGCTGGTTCTCAACTGGACGCTGAGTTGCCCCCTAATCCCATTCCCTAAAAAAACCACCCCCGAGATAAAGCTGTGACCCCACACTCTTTCTCCCGCGGTCCGGACGGTGAAGTGGGGGTGCGGCGGGGACTAAGCTGAGCACCTAGTTTCGAGCAAGGCAAATCACTGGGCTCCCAGGCGCACCCGGGCAGCGGGGCGCACGGTCCCCTCGCGAACTTGAGCAGGAGACAAACTTCCCAGCGTCCTCGACGTGGGGGGCCGACTCTCGCGAGACCGCCCCTGAACTTAAGCCCACTTTCACTCGCCCCCACGGGAACTCCACGGAGCCACCTTAAGGGCGGCGTCCCGCCCCCCGGAAGTGCGGGGGGGGCAAGGACTCGAGCGTTCGACCTACCAGCCCCGCGCGGCCGCCAAGCTCCCAGAGAAGACTCCGAGCCGCCGCGAAGTGGGAAACAACACCCGCCCCGCACCCTCGGCCCCAGACACCTGGGCCGGGTTCCCCAGCCGGCCGGGTCCCCGCAGCCTCTGCGCATTCCCGCCCCGAGCCCCGAGCCCCGAGCCTGAGCCCGCCTGTCAGAGGCTGCGAGCGCCCGTGTCGGTCCGGCTCGCAGTAGCCACGGTCACTAGACAGTCAAACCCCAAGACGTCAGCCCACAATGCACCGGGCGGGTCGGCGAAAGACGCGCCCGGGAGGGGAAAGCGACGAGCGGGGCTGGAGTCGCGCGGGAGGGGCTCGGGGAGGAGGAGAAAGAAGGGCCCGACTGTAGGAGGGCAGCAGAGCATTACCTCATCCCGTGAGCCTCCGCGGGTCGGAGAAGAATCTTCTAGGGTGAGGTCTCCATGGCGACGGGCGGGCCCGCCCCCTTGAGAGCGACGCGAGCCAATGCGAAGGCCTTGGGGTGACATCATGGGCTATTTTTAGGGGTTGACTGGTAGCAGATAAGTGTTGAGCTCCGGCTGGATAAGGGCTCAGAGTTGCACTGAGTGTGGCTGGAGCAGCGAGGCGCGAGTGGAGCGCGCGGACTCAGGGAGACGGGCAGAGCAGTCGGGCGGGCAGCACAGCCCCAGCTGCAAACCTCGTCTTCTCCTCCGCTTGCTCACCAACTGCCCAGAGCTAGCGCCTGTGCTCCTGGGCTGGTGTTTGGGGGAGCGTCCGAAGAGCCCCTTCTCCAGCCGCCCCCCGGAGGAGCGCCCCGCTTGCCCGGGAGCCGCTGACAGCGCGGAGAGCGGCGACTGTCGCCCGAATAAGTCCGGCGAGCCGCTGCGGCGGCAAAGAACTTTCCTCGCCTGGAGGACGGGGGACAAGTGGCCCCTGGGTCCCGGAGCGAACTTTTGCGAAGCTTTTCTCCGCCCGAAGCTGCCGAGGTGGCCGTAAAGAAAAGCGGGCCGCTGAGAGAGGCGCGCGAGGAGGGACGAGCGCTCAGCTCCGTTCACACGGGTCGCTGAACTTGGGGGAGCGCGAGCCGCAGCCGCCGGGCGCCCCCTCCCTCTCGCAGCGGAGGAGGGGACAGTCGTCGGAGTCCGGGCGGCGGAGACTCGCCGCCGGCCGACCCGCCGTGGGGTTCGCGCTGAGCGCCGCCTCCGGGAGACCCGCTGTCGCCGGGACGCGCGTTCGTTCGCGGGCTCCGAGAAGCCGCTGCGCGGAGGTGCGCCCTGGGAGTGACCGCGACTTTTCAAAGCCGGCGGCGCGCGGGAGCGGACAAGTAAGAGTGCGGGCGGCGTCTTAACCCTGCGTTCCCCGGCGCGAACCGGCGAGGAGGGCGCAGAGGGGAGGACCGCCGGCGGGTGCGCGCGCTCCTAGAGAAACTTTTCTTGCCAAAGGCCCCGGGAGGCGCGGGTGTCCCCCGCTTGCCAGCGCGCTGTTGCGGCCCCGAAACTTCAGCGCGCAGCCCAAACTAATCCCACTGGAAGTGACGGACTGTTCTATGACTGCAAAGATGGAAACGACCTTCTACGACGATGCCCTCAACGCCTCGTTCCTCCAGTCCGAGAGCGGCGCCTACGGCTACAGTAACCCCAAGATCCTGAAACAGAGCATGACCCTGAACCTGGGCGATCCGGTGGGCAGCCTGAAGCCTCACCTCCGGGCCAAGAACTCTGACCTCCTCACCTCGCCCGACGTGGGGCTGCTCAAACTGGCCTCGCCCGAGCTGGAGCGCCTGATAATCCAGTCCAGCAACGGGCACATCACCACCACGCCGACCCCCACCCAGTTCCTGTGCCCCAAGAACGTGACGGACGAGCAGGAGGGCTTCGCGGAGGGCTTCGTGCGCGCCCTGGCCGAACTGCACAGCCAGAACACGCTGCCCAGCGTCACGTCGGCGGCGCAGCCGGTCGGCGGGGCGGGCCTGGTGGCTCCAGCGGTGGCTTCGGTGGCGGGCGGCAGCGGCAGCGGC